ATTCCTGTAGCCACAGTGGCCATCCCAGGCAGGAGGTGGCAATGGGATCACAGAGAGCAGAGGGAAGAGAGGAAGGGCTGTGACAGCCGTGGAGAACAGGGGCCCAGCCGCACTGCAGTCCCGGCCAGGGCCTCTTCCAGTTCTTCTCCCTGGTAGGAGAACCCTCTTTTGTTTGGGGGCACCAGCACATGTGTTGAAGGAAAGGACCCCTCCTCATACTGAGGGGTAAAATGAGGTACAGAACAGAGGCCCCACACACAGCTAGCATGCAGAAAAACACGCCTTTCTAGCCTAATCTTATTGGGGTACCTCTCTCCCCAGGCTCCCGTCCAGCCAGGAGCCGTGTGACCCTGATAAAAGGTAAGCTGAGCTTGCCAGGTTGAGTCTCCTGAAGAGACATGGCAGACTCGCTGCTCAGGCCCCACCCTGTCACCCTGCCTGTCACGCGGCTAGGAGCTGAAGGCAGAATGGCCCTGGTGCAACCATGGCTGCCCATGAGGACAAAAGCCACGTGGTCTAGGTGACTGAGCAAAACCCGTGCAGAGCCCAAGCCCCTAGCAGCATGCTGGAGTCCCCTGATCAGCCCTGGAAACTCCAAGTAGTGGGAGGCAAGGTGCCCCCAGCATGGCCAGGCTTTCGTTCCTTGCAGCCGACTGCATGCCCAGCAGAGCCATCACCCATCTCTGCATTTCTGGCTGTGTGAGAAAACACACTTCCTTTGTGATCAAGCCATTCCAAGGCCTTCTCCTGCTCCTTGCAATCGGATGTGCCCCCGTGAATACCTGAATTTTGCAGCAGTAAATTGGAAAACTGAGATTGACTTGGTCCCCGGGTTGAGGGGGACAGTTACTGTTTACGGAAAACCTGACAGCGCGAGAGAGGGTCCAATATCCTCTGCATCTCTGGCCGGGATCCTTTCAGCCCTCAGCTAAGGACTCAGGGCTACTTCTGCGTGGGTGTGTGTGGAGCGGCCCGACTAAGTGAGTCTTAGTGCTTTGTCTCCCCTCCCCACTCAGAGGGGGATGCTTAGATTCAGGGAAAAGAATTTCCTACCTAGTGGATGGGAGGGAGGGGATCGGGAAAAAACAAAACATGTAATAGGACACAAAAGCGAGAAGTTATTTGTTGGGGATAAAGTATAGAGGAATGTCCGGCTTGACTAACATGCGCCGTACTCACGATGGGAAAAATCATGTTCTCCACCGTAAAGGTGTGCAGTCGTTAAATGTAAATAAAAAATAAAACAAAATGTAAAAAAAAATTTCCTACCTAAGGCACACGGCCAAGCCTCCTTCTCATGGGTAGAATGAAGAGATTACTAGACATCAAAGTTCTTCAAAAACTTCATTTCAAAGTCGGTGAAGCCCTTCCACAACAGAACCTTTGCTTGTT